TCCAACTAATTCAAAATGCAGCAGCTAGGCTTCTTACTGGTTTTAACAGATGACATCTAATCACCCTAATCTTAGCTTCCCTACATTGGCTTCCATTGGATTTTACTTATCACTTTTAAAGCTTGCACTAATCTTGATCCTCAGGTGGGGCTTTCCCGGTCATCCAAAGTCAAGGCTCGAATCTAAAGGTGACTGTGCTTTTGTCATCAGGGCTTTGGAATGACCTGCCCGAGCAAATAAGGTGTGCACAATCCATGACATTCTTTAAGTCACTTCTTAAAACTCACTGTTACAGCCTTGCTTTTATGTGATGTGTTCTTCTTATGATCTTCTTCTTACGTCTTTCTATCATCTTTTATTTCTTATCCTGTCATATATTTTTATTACTCTTCTAATTGTTTTAGTTCCCTAACATCCTCAGTATCTTTGTATTTATTTTATTTCCTTTTATTGTTTTTATGGCTTTCATTTATCCTTATTATCTCTATTTTATTCCTTATTGCTCATGTCATTTGTTTGTTTGTTTACAAATGTTCTCATCTGTTTCTATTGTTTTTATTTCCTTTATCGCTTCTTCACCTTATTTTATTGCACTGTTACTTACTGTTTTTAGCCCTTTATGCCCTTATTTGTATTTTTTTTTCTCATTCTGTTGCTTAATGGTGTTTTAGTGCCTATACCCCCTTTTATTATTCCTATCCCCTTTAATTGCTTACATCATCTTAGACCTTGGTCCTCCTGTTCTTAATTTATGTTGTTGGGTTCTTGTGTTGCTTGCTTGGGCTCTTGAGGGTTTATACAGTATGTCGCTGTTGTTGTTTGGGTTCTTCTGCCATTGTTCTCTTGTATGTTTGTGCTTTTATGTCAAAGCACTTTGTGAACCCTTGTTTTTAAAGGTGCTATATAAATAAAGGAATTATTATTATTATCATATCCCACCTATCACACCTGGAACACCTCTGGATCCCCCTGGAGGAACTGGAAAGCATTTCTGGAGAGTGGGATGTCTGGGATAACCTGCTTAGCAAGCTTATCTCGGTTAAGCAGAAGAAGATGGAAGATGGATACAATTTCTATTGAACAACAACAAAAATTAGACTGTGGTACTGCAGCTTACAGTGTAGAAGTGATAGAAGTAAAATTCCGGGTTGGTGTAGACTAGTCCACATTTCAGACACCAAACATGACATCACAGGTGGCACTATAATCAAAGAAGGGGCGTTTTGGCCAGTAACTCCCACATTGTACATCAACCATGCAGAAATCTTTTATGCATGTGTGCCCTGAAAAAAGAAAACAAAAAACATATATATCTGACCCAAATTAGGAATGAGGGATGGCCATATATCAGGACTCTCGTGATCAAAATAACTTCCTGTAGGTTCCATTCATAACAGGAAGTGTTGTATAGAGTTGGCAACAATCACTCTTATTTACATGAAATTTAGTCCAGTACTTTCTCATATCAGTCTGAAGTTCTCTATAAAATTTGGCGCAATTCAGCAACTAGGTGACACAGAAAATATGAAAACTCTATATCTTGTAACTGGCTAAATATTTGGTTTGCATGATCTAGGGTCACTTCACAACTGATGCATGAAATTTGGCAATGATTTATTAAAGTGGGCGTGACCCCTTACAAAAAATATACATTTCTACATATTCCAACCTCCAAAAAAAATCATAATAAATCACCTGTACGTTCTACAGAGCTGGAATTTTTTTGCATATCCACTGAATGATGGTGTCACTTATATTTCTGAAAATATGAAAAATCAATTAACATCAGTATTTTCATATTTCATTCAAATGCTACCAAAGTTTACACAGACATTCTCTAGATGGTAGAGATCAAGTGTTTCAAAAGGTGTTTGGATTGGACCATGAGTCTGCAGTAATCTTCATCATCTTGCTGTAATATGTACTGTATGCACAACATTTTCTTTTTTGCTCAGTCTTGGATACAAATTCACCAAAAAATTATGGATGATTCTCCCAAAACCAGCAGAATGATTTGCGATTTTTTTCATACTTCTGTACTGTTTACTGTTTAATTGTTGTTGATTTGTTGATTGTCTTACTGTGAACATTGGCCTTTGCAGTTAATTAAAAAATATATATAACTACACACTATGTTAAATCTAATGAGTAGAATATTGCAATAATGCCTACAGTTGGATGCTGCAGTGGTGTCAGTGTCTGAGAAGCACAAGCAGCTGAAGTAGCATGAACAGACTGGGCAGCAGCACAGATTTATGTAAGCTGACAGTCTGACAGTTTTGAGAACTACTGACAACAACAATATTAATTCTTTGGGGTGACTTCATCAAATTAATGAAAGAGAACAACAACAACTTTTTCTAAATCACTGTATGTTTTGATAGTATGTGAAGAGCAGATATAGGTTTTGTTTAAGTGTTGTAGTGCTGTCCTCAGTTTTCAAACGTGTTTATCTGGATTTTGCAATGACTTCCAATATGACACACCTTATCAGACGTCAAGGAAAATAACTATAGCAAGATTCCGTGCATTGTTAATGTTCATGGAATGTACAAGGCACAACCGACTGCCTCATGGCTGGAGGGTCAAAGACCACAGATGTCATAAATTAGGGTGTAACAGCAGGGTGAGGACTGGTGTAAACAAGTAACTTTGTCTAAAAACCTCTCCCACTGTTATAAAGGCAGGTTCACTTTTGTCTTATCAGAATGTAAAGCCTGGTAAATCCTCTGTGGTAGCTTCCATTTTCCACTGCCACCGCCCAATCTTAAAGACAGATAAAAAAATCAGTGGGACACCTGTGTATTTCCTTTGACGTCATAGTAATAAAGCTACTTTTAACATGACAAATATGTACACTTCTTTTACAGTCACAATAAAAAATATATAAAAATACTTACATCATATATCCCGGAGTGGGCGATAATTAAATAGCGTCATTTATAATTATTTATTGTGATGAAACTCCCATTGAAATTCGCAGTTGTCATCAAGGATTTTAGAGTGAGAACTATTTCTATGAAATACTCTTACTTCGAAGCAGCGCTTTTACATATATATATAGATATACATACATACTGTATGTATGTGTATATATATATATATATATAAATATACCTCATGTCTCTGTTTCTGTTTTCTGTTCTCTGAATGCAGAACTTGTTACGTAGTATTTTTAAACTGAGGTATTGTTATTTTTGAGATCTGAATACATTTTAATAAGTTGCATGTTGTAACTGCTGATAGAGAATACTCACCTTCTTACACACAGCAGAGATGTGTCAGGACAGCTGACGAAATGGTGGAAAACTGTATTATCAGAGTGGTGACAGAACAGTGTGAGGTGTGAAGGTTCTGGCTCCTATAATTGACATATCTCTGCTGATTGCACCACCAGGATCGAGCTGTTTCAGCAGCCCACTGATAATCAGAAGTTGCACAAGACAAATGTCATGAAGCAGTAAATCAGAAATTCCGCTGGTACATTTGCACCCAGCTCTGCACGTCATTTCAGGCTATTATCATTTTTATTATCAAAACAAACTGGTGTCATAGCAATGATGTGAAAACTCAAGCACACCTTAACCTAGTACACACACAGTGACCATATCGCAACATCATGTTTAAGATGCTGCGAATTCATGTCTGTCAACTCATCCTTTAATCTTTAAAGAATGAAGCTCATTCACTCATTTAATAATCTGACAGTACTCAGGTCATAGGGAATAATAATAATCAGTTAGAGGTAAACTGAGGTTTAGCCAGTTTTAGACAACGCTGTTGTGTGGCTGCTTGTGTTCATGTAACAACTGAGAACTGAGACTTTTTCTGTTCATTAAAACAAGAACAAAAACATCTTTATATTTCTCACAATACATAATCAAGAAAACACAGTATCTGCCACCATGATAAAAAAACTATCTGCTCAGTTTCCTGTTATGAGAAAACTGGTTTTACATTATAACATAATATTTTTCATTTCAGAATTACTATAGATTTTTCTCATTTACATACATTGGTGAGATAACAAAAACAAGTGTGTACTGTGTGTTTCAAATCACCTCCAGTTGTAGGCCTACTCTGAAGCAGTGTTCCCCAACCACCGCCACACTGCTTCTGTGTCCTCTGCTCTCTGGGCGAGGCAGGGCTGCACTCAGTACACACACACACACACAAACACACAGCGAACGGCAGAGCAGAGACTGTGCTGGATGCAGAGCCAGGGGAAGTTAAGATAAGTGAAGATTACAGAACTGTACTGTACGGTCAATGAAAAGCAAAAGGCCAACTTTCATCTGTTTTGTCCGCTGTCTCCTGCTGGGGACAAATAAAGTTTCTTGAATTGAATTGATAGTGATTCTGGACACTTTACATCTTAGGTACAGTTAAAAGTTGTTGTTGTATGACACCATCTGTTTCTTCATACTGAGCTGTGTGACTTAAGTGATGTCACTCGAGTCAGCATCAGTTTGAGATGAAGACTCGCCACACTTCTGCGACCTGCTCATCTATGCTCCAGGCTACATTAGCCGCTACTGGCATAACACAACTGAGTCTCTGACCCAGCTGCTGGTGGTCAGTTGCACTGTGGGTAATGTAGACGCATCATGAGTTTTACAGCTGCATGATGATGAATCTGTGAAATAATAATATCTGACTTTTCTGAGAGAAATATAAAAATGTGTTTTCTTGAAAATTCAAAATGTCTTAAAACAAGCAGCAGACTCTGAAATATGAAGATTAAAAATGCCTAAATGAAAAAAATTAAAATGCTCTAATATGTATTTTATTTTTAGGTACTCAGTTACTCTGTCATAATTTATTGATAAACACATGTACTTCAATGTGACTTAACCTTAACCGTAACTGAATGAACTGTTTTTCATTGTGATATGAATTATTACATACATTAAAAACAACTAACAACACAAAACAAAGTAAGGAGGTCTACTGCATTTAAAAATGATTTTTTATTATTTTCTATAAAAGCAACTGAACAACTTAAATAAAACAAAAAAAACTATCAGCCCAAAGAATAAATGAACAATGAATGTGACCAGACATCCAACTTTAACACCAGACAAACTCTAGTGGTCACTCAGAAACTAGTTATTGAAAATCCAGCTCAGTAACTTTTGAGACGAAGACCAAATAAGTAGACTCAGCACTGAACCAGTATAAAGTTAAATATTAAATCTACAACATATGGAAAAAATAAGGCACACGACACAAACCACTGTTTATAAATATTAAACTACATTTATCTGCGCATCAGCAGCTTCAGTGGCACCATGAAAGGGTTGAGGGGAGGGCAGGGTCCCATCACGTCTCCATTCCCTGATTGGCTGGATGTGTTGTTGCTCTGTGATGATTGGCTCTCAGCTTCTGGCTGTAGTTTCCTCCCACCACTGTCCACGACCTCACTGCCGCCAGTCCTGTCAGAGCTCTGCTGACCCTCTGGTGTGGTGCTGTCTGGACCGCTCGGACCCTCTGACTGAGCAGAGGGTCCGCCCTTCAGGTTTTTAAACAGTTCTCTCGCCAGCTGGGAGTCAGCAGGTGATGACAGACTCTGGTACACCTGAAACATGGAGGAGAATGTTCAGGTGAAGGAATAAGAACAGAAAAAAAAAACTTTTGTACTTACACAAATCTGTGCTGATACTGGCTCTGAGAAGTGCTGGACTCAACTGAACTAACATGCTACTGACACAAGCTTTGGTTCATACTTGCTGCTCTTAGCATTTGTATTTGTGTGTGTGTGTGTGTGCGCGCGTGTGTTCGTGTTAACATAGACTTGTTCATCCAATGTTTTACAAAGAAGTTGTAACCTGTGAGTCTGTCTTCGCAGGTTCCTTTGATTCCTAGTGACCTGGTCCTGATCTACTGCTGCAGATGTTTGGTCAGTATCTTTTCTGACCTGGGAAAGACTGAACCTAGACCTGTGACAGTCTGTGGTTCCAGGTTCTACTTTATGTCTCCACAGCTTTTTACAAACCACAACATTTTGGTTCAGGGTCATTTAAAGCCTCAGACTCCAGGACAAACACTGTAGCGATGGAACATCAGAGGAGAGGTGATGGTGGAACATCAGAGGTGATGGTGGAACATCAGAGGTGACGGTGGAACGACAGAGGTGACGGTGGAACGTCAGATGTGACGGTGGAACGTCAGAGGTGACGGTGGAACGTCAGAGGTGACGGTGGAACGTCAGAGGTGACGGTGGAACGTCAGAGGTGACGGTGGAACATCAGAGGTGATGGTGGAACATCAGAGGTGACGGTGGAACATCAGAGGTGACGGTGGAACATCAGAGGACAGAGAGGTGATGGTGGAACATCAGAGGAGAGGTGATGGTGGAACATCAGAGGACAGAGAGGTGATGGTGGAACATCAGAGGAGAGGTGATGGTGGAACATCAGAGGACAGAGAGGTGACGGTGGAACGTCAGAGGTGACGGTGGAACATCAGAGGACAGAGAGGTGATGATGGAACATCAGAGGTGATGGTAGAACATCAGAGGTGACGGTGGAACATCAGAGGTGACGGTGGAACACCAGCTGCTAGATGAACTTCAGTCGTTTGTTCAGGAGAAAATTAAACACTGAACTCTGCTCCACAGAAAACAACAGCTCGGTACCAGAAATGTGATGATTCTGAAAATATCAACACTTTCCTAAAGTCCCAGTGAAATGTGGTCAGACCAGTGACGTTTTGTTCAGTTGAAACAGAAAATAGAAAAACACAGAACACAGCTGTACATGGACAAAACACATCTTCACAGTTCTTATCTAAACACATGACCTGTGTTATTTATGGCCGTGTTGTAAAGCAGTTGTTTTCCTCCCGCCCTGAACCTGGATTCAGTATCAGCTCTTGGACAGAGCAAATCTAAGTTCAGGAGCTGGAGAGAGGAGAGCAGCTGAGACAACAGCAGACCATAGACCTTCAGTTATGGTTATGGTCAAGTCTGACAGTCCTCCTCTCCGATCAGGCCTAGCTGTCTCTCCTGGAACAGGCTGCTGAGAACTGTTGTACATGTCAGAGTCAGTGTGTGAATCTGATACTAACAGATGAAAATGCATTTGATCTGAGATCTAGGACCTTCATTTGTGGTCTGTGCTGCCCCCTAGTGGAAACCTAACAGACCAGACTGCTGTATGAGATGCTGATGAGGACTCACTTGTTGCCTTTTAAATACAAAGGATGTGAGTTTCATTCCAGCTCCGGGTTGTGCCAGCTGCAGGTTTTACCGATGATCTGCCGATACGACCGTGTTAATGTTTTCTCAAGTGTGTGTCACACATGACAGACTGTAACAGAAATCAGTGTAAATGTGTGAGAGACTGAGGAGAGAAAGAAAACTTACAGCTGGCTCCATGCTTTACTGAGCAGCTGCTGCTCAGATACAACAGTAATGAAGCATGTGACTCAGCTTTTATTTTCTGACTGTGACACCTTGTGAACTCAGCTGCATTTTGATTGGCTGTCAGCATCTCTTTCAAATGACATGCAGTACAGGGCCGTCTGATGCGGGATTTGAACCGGGGCAGACTGCAGCGAGGACTGTAGCCTCTACACATGGGGCGCCTGCTCAACCCGCTGCGCCACTCGACGCTTTTAGAACAATATATTTGTAGTTGTGTTGATGTTGTTGTGGACGTCCCTTCACCGTGGTCTCATCCATCATCCAGAACACCTGTGTTTTCTCTTCAGGTGAACAAACCACCTTTTGTTTTCTGATCATTTGAAGTGCTCAAAATACCTTCAAAAGCTTTAGATTGAAACTGAAGCAGGTCGTACCTGGACCAGGTGTTTGTGCAGGTTCTTACAGTCGAGCAGGGGAAGCTCCTCAGGTAGAGACATCAACAGGTCCAACATGATGGCGCTCTCTGCAGGACAAAGACGGTGAACAACATGGAACATGTGTAGAAACACAGAGAAGGACAACCACACGATCGTAATTCCTACAAAATAAGACACTGATTAGCTTTAGGTAACAATTAAAAATCCAACAGTTCTGTAGTCTATATGAAGGAGTGAAGGTCTGATGTTAATTAGTCTTCACATTAAAAAATAAGCTCATTACAAACAAGGTTATAATTAATCCATGTGATGTCTACAGATGGAAAAGTCTCTCTAAACATTGATTTTAGAAAAATAAACTGATCAGTCTAATACTTTATGCTTTATTGTTTATTATTCCTTTAATCTATCAATATAATTGATTATCATGTTGGAAGTGGCCACGACACACAAAATGAATGGTTAACAGCTGTGGTTGTATCACTGAAGACCAAATGAAATACACACGACACCAGCAGTGACTCACCCATGGGGGTGAGGTGACACTCGTCAGTGGGTTTGTGGATCGCACTCAGGTAGCGGTAGATCCTCTCAAAGTCCACAATGCACTTGACACCTAAGGTCCGGGGACTGTCTTTGGTGGCGAACTTGCTGGTGCGACCAAACCTGGCATGAACTTCTGCGGCGGGGCCAGAGAGGGGGGGCAGGGGGTGGGTGGTGGAGGTGGAGGAGCTCGAGGAGGGGACAGAGAATTGAGCAGCACTGGGGAGAGGGGTGAGACTGGTGGCAGAGGGAGAGACAGGTGTGTGACTGACTGTGGACTTTACAGTGGAGGCAGAGGTGGAGGTGGAGGTGGAGGTGGGGGCTGGGGTTGAGTTGGGGGTGGAGGTGGGAGCTGGGGTGGAGGTGGAGGCGGGGGTGGGGGCTGGGGTGGAGGTGGGGGCTGGGTGGAGGTGGATGCGGGGTGGGGACTGGGTGGAGGCTGGGGTGGAGGTGGGGGCTGGGTGGAGGCGGGGGCTGAGGTGGAGGCGGGGGTGGGGGCTGGGGTGGAGGTGGGGGCTGGGGGTGGAGGCGGAGGTGGAGGCGGGGGCTGAGGTGGAGGCAGGGGTGGGGCGGGGGTGGAGGTGGAAGCAGGGGTGGGGTGGGCGCTGGGGTGGAGGTGGGGGTGGAGGTGGGGGCTGGGGTGGGGGGCGGGGTAGAGATGGAGGTGGAGGCGGGGGCTGGGTGGAGCGGGGGTGAGGTGGGGGTGGGGTGGAGGCGGGGGTGGAGGTAGATGGTGGAGGTAGGCGGGGTAGAGGTAGGGGGTGGGGGTGGGGTGGGGGCTGGGGTGGAGGTGGAGGTGGAGGTGGAGGCGGGGGTGGAGGTGGAGGGATGCTGCTGGGTTGTCTGGATTGAGGAGACACTCGGAGTGTCTACCACTGCTGCAGAGCCAGGACTGAGCGTGCTTTGCCCTGAGGCCGGGATCTCAGGCTTTGGGGCTGTAGGGGACGCTGCAGGTATTTCTGCTGCACCTGGCTGGTTGGAGGGGGCAGCAGGTGAGCTTTCGGATGTGGTTGAAGGCTGTTGCTGGGGTGGAGGGACTGTGCTGTTTGGCACTCTGACCACTCTGGATAGAGCTGGGGGTCTTTTGGCTGGGCCTATGGTTGGTGCTGGAGTCTTGAGGACCAGGAGAGGACGGGTGGGATTGGTGCCAGGATGCTTACCTGAGGAAAAGATGGAGGACAGTAAGATGAGACAGAACCTGCAGCACAGAGAACATCTGATTGTGTTCTGTGTTCAGATCATTACTAAGGATTATGGGAAATAATAGAGTATCTCCATGAATGAGGATTGTTTTTGGTGACTGAGTTGTCAGTGTCAGATAAATACTGGTTCCAGCTGTGTTCACACCTGACAGGACTAACACAGACAGAGGCTGTTGTTTAATCTGAAGGATGAAGAGTGTCTCTGTCTCTGGACGCTCTGCTCCCACTGAATTAACTAACACCTTCATCACAGTAGTTGTGGACTCAGTTAATTCCTCTTCCTCACTCACTGTGTGTGAACAGTTTTGATGGATCAGATGAATACGAAAAACAAAGACATACACATATTTACTGTCTCCAAGATTCAGACAGAAAATGGACTGAGTACCTTGTACTGGCATACCAGGCACTGGTCTGAAAGGGATGGTGCGACCAACAGGTCTGTCCCGGTCTGTGGGTGGTCTGTGGACCTGAGGAGGGTCGCAGTTCTTCAGGGTGCTAGGCTCTGTGGACGACACTATCATCATCTGGAAAACACAGAGGGATGAGGGAGATGGAGGTGGCAGTGACTCCACAGGACAGGTAGGTACAGGTCTGTCTCTGATCCAGCAGCAGTTGTGTTTGAGGGGTGTCAGATAAAACCTGAGGTCACATTTAAAGTCAGCAGAAGAAAGTCCAGGCAGAGATGCCTTTATCAAACCCTGTCTCATCAGTATCTGGATCGTACCTGAGAGAACGCTCCAGTGATTTGTTCTTCGAGGGTTCCCGCCAAAGATGAAGCCATGTGAATCCACACATCGATGGGCTTTCTGGTCTTCTCTTCCTCCAGCCTCTTCTTCTTCAGCTTCAAACTCACACTAGAGATCACTTTGTTCTTCAGAGAATCCACCACAGCCTGGATCTGAGGGAGGGAGGACAGTACACGTCATGGTACTGTACATGAACACAGAGACCGGCCCAGAGGAGGGAGTTCACTGAGCTGAGCTGTCTCATACTGCACACTGACATTCACCGACTCTGTAACTGGAGGATTTTAGTTCATTTTTAAATTAGTTGGACACATGTTATGAGGCCTGAATGTCGGATTAGACACTGAAGATGACATCAACATATGATGGCTGAAGTTTATAGATAGACAGATATCACAACAACAACAGTTCACACTGATTACTCACAGTTAAGAATTGTCACAGTATATGGTGACACTGCTGTACTAAAGCTACGTAAACACAGAGAGGACAATCAAAGATAATCTGTTTCATTTATAATCATATTTGTTTTTCATAAGATCTATAAACTTCTTATATCAGAGCGATGGAGGAACTTAGTAAATAACCAGGTGACACAATACAACTCATTATGAACATGGTCTCTGTAATGTAACATCTGATGAATGTGAAGGTGACCGAGTGAAACCTGTCCCTGTGAGCCGGTTCAGTGCAGACTGCAGCCCTCAGTAGACCTGGTTTCACCACAGTTTAACTGAGACCTTAGTTTTTCATTTGTCTGGTAAAAATAAACAATATTTAATACAAAGTAACAGACAGAGAGTCAGAGGGACCGAAGTCACTGATAACCCTCCACAAAGACCAGACCACCGTACCTCTTCTATGGACCGGTTAGGAACCTGTTTTCTCAGGAACGTATAGTCGATGTCTCCGCGGCTTCCGGCGGTTTTGGACAGTCTCCTCAGAGCGTCCAGGAGCTTCTTCTTCTCCAGTTTCTTCCACTTACATGTCAGTTTACCCGAAGGCGTCCGGACCGGGTCAGGCATCAGGTTGCGTTCTGGTATTTTTCGAGTGCGAGGAGGCGGCTTCATCTCTGCTGAACTGGACTGACGGGTTCAGGGTCTAGCTGGTTCTGGTACCGCTCAGACAGCTGCCTCCTGAAGACTGTATATGAACGATTTAACTTTACACTGAAGGTAAAAACGTTTCTTCACCACAGAACCATCATCAGCCACAACTGTACTACTTCCGGTACTTTTTCAGAATAAAAGCGTTTTCAAAGTACTGTTCTTTCTTAACAAAAAGAACATAATTAAGGAACTGAATGTTCAAATACATTTATGAAATGCTCCTTTCTTCTTACTTAAATACTTCTTAATCAGATTATGAAACACATGAATATAAATGTTGCTATTTAGTATCAAAATTATTTTTAAATAATTTATTTAAAGACAGACGATAGACATTTAATGACCTTTTAAAACGTTTTTTTAAAGGTTTATAGTGGATTATTTAAATACAAATTTAATTATTTCTGAACATCTTTTAAATGAGTTAACCCATCTATTAGAATGAAACACTAAGAATATGAAGAGGCTCAATCAGTTCTGGAAGGTTATCCCAGCATACAGACTTTTTGTGTAACACACTGTTCTTTAATAAGCCAAATTCACATTCGAAACACAACTTAACTAAAGCTGAAAAGAGCAGAGGAGGTATAAATATTGAGGTATAAGGTTTACATTTGTTATAATGCTTCTGTCTTGTATCGTAGGAGGGAACTATTTCATGGACGTTACACTTTCTAATTTTAATTTGAAAGCGAGCTGGATCGGACAGGTTACTGCTTCCGGGTACTGTGCTCCAGTGCCGTTGAAAATAGAGTTGCGACACTCTTTGAGCATTACCGCCAGCGACTTTAATCATAACACTTTTTAATATTGATGCAGACTGTGCGTTGACTACTTTGAGAGGATTGGGGTTAGGTTGTTCACAGTGTGTGCGCACTAATATTTGTCTCGTGCCTCTGACTGTGCTCATGCTCCCATCCTAATGTTAACTAACGTACAGCCTGTAACAGTTTGGTTCCGTGTATTTGGGTTGAGGCAGTCGGAGAGCGTAGAGAAAAGGCGGAGACAAAAACTCACGTCCGCACAAGCGCTGGGATGTTTATTAACTTACTACACTTCAACCTTACCATGCCCGGTTGGACGGCTCTATCTTATCATACAGGAACAAAACAGAAACCACACGTTCCCTAAACGTTACTCTTGAGTTGAGGAGCTTAACGAATACGGAGCTCAACAGGTACCCACTTCCATCAAGGTGTATGCTCAACTAAAAGAAAACAAAGCCCATATCTAGGTTGCACAGCATGTCTTAAAGGCACATTTCACAATTTTGACTGTTGAAGGACGTTCACATAAACAGACACAAGTGAGTAGTACGCTGCACGGCCTACTCTAAACCTCCAGTCACTCTGCATTCATCAGTGCACTCATACCCACTGGTCATACTGGATGAACTGTTGGACCCAGTACTGCTACACAAACAAGACTAAGCAGTGCCATCTATTGGTTAAAAACAGCATTAAAACATAAATAGTCTTTTTAGTATCCCAATATAATGAAAACACTTTCTGGAAGACTGCAATGGTACTTACCAAATAGTAAATATGACTATGTTGAAGGGTTTGTTTATTTGTGCGTTTTGTGTCATAATATAAAGGCCATTAATATTTTCATTGTGATTTTTTTTATTTACATAATGTCTTCTATAGACAGGAGATGTTAATCAAGTGGCTTCGACAGACTCTAACTGTTAACGCAGGCTATAAACACATGGCATGAGGAGACAGGTATTGAGTCAGCCTACACTGAAGTCTTACAGGTGGCTACTCATTGTTATCATGTAGTTTTCACGATTCTCAGCAAGTTTGAGTTATCAATTGATCCCATAAGCCATTGCATTGTTTTATACATATGCAATAGATCAGAGGATTTTGCTCATCTGTTGAGCTAGCCTGGCTGCTAGCATCCTACTCATCATCCTCCTCTACATGAAGTATTATTAACAGATTTATATGATCTGCAAAATAATCTAAATGAGGAACTGGTTAAGGTGGATATAATTGTTTTTCATTCACATGTTTGTATCAAATAAAAGGCCACATAACTGTTTCCTGCAGGTTTACATTGATGAATTCTTAAACTTTAAAGGCCATATCGATGAGTTGATGAAAGAAATTACTGTAATGTTATATGGTGTAATACTTTTCCTGCATTTATAGATCTATATCCATTGTATGTTTTATTGCTAAACTGTTCAAAAATTAATTTATAATATAACCTCTCACATCATCTCAATAACATCATTTCAATCTGGCTTCAGGTCTAACCACTCCACAAGTACCACCCTACTTAAACTCACCAATGAAGTGTTCTCTGTTCTAGATAATGGTGAACTTACAGGTGCAGTCTTTATTGATTGAACTGAAGCTTTTGATTTTGTTGATCTGCTTTTAGATAAACTCCATGTGATTGGCCTTGTTCTGTGGTTTGATTCATACCTTCACAACAGATGGTATGAAGAGGTGTACCCAAGGGTTCAACACTGGGACCACTTCTCTATTTATTTAACAATTTAATGTCAATTTTCAGTAACTATTGTATTCAACTCTTTAGTGATGACACTGTTATATATACACCTGAACACCTGTATCTGATGTACCTACTATTGTTGAACAAAACAAATTATTATGATCTTTGACTATCGTGACATTGTGTATCAAAAGACATTAAAATCAGCCCTCACAGGGCGTCGAGTAGCTCAGTTGGGTGAGCATCCACCCCATGTGTAGAGGCTACAGTCCTTGCTGCAGTTGGCCCTGGTTTGAGTCCCGCATCAGACGGCCCTTGGCTGCATGTCATTCCCCCCCCTCTCTCCCTCCCCATTTCCTGTCTCTCTCTACTGCACGGTCAATAAAGGCACAAAAAGCCCAAAAAAAAAAAAAAAAAAATCAGCCCTTGCCCCACTTAACACAGCATATAATAAACTCTGTAGATTTGTCCTTTTCTCATTCATTATACAATGCATGATGCATTTAAATGTCCATCTCTAAATATAAGAAGACATATTCACTGGCTTCAGTTCATTTATTTTAATTATCCTCCTTATTTACAACAACAGTATCTTGTACCTTTTACATCGAAGTATCAAGTTAGGCACTCTGCCACGTTTAAAGTGGACTTGTTATGCTAATTTCCAGCTCTATATTTTTACTCTGGGATTCCACTAGAGCAGCTTTGCATGATTCACAGTTCAATAAAAGTTCAGCCTCTGACTGAAACAGGCAATATTAGCTCCGGCTTTCTTAAGAAGCCTCCTTAAGAGCCCACTTTCTTCTGATTGGCCGAACATCTGGAAGCTTGCCAGGGGCAGTACCCAGTGCTTGTGAGCACGACCTCATCCTCTTACTGGTGTGGAGGTTGTGAAAACAAACTGTGAACCTAAATAACTAGTAACCAAACTAAGTAACCGAACATAACTGACTGGAAATGGAAATTTGTCAGATCAATCAGTTCATGTTACCTGCTCATTGTGACATTACGCTGGATTTAGTCTTTAAATCATAATCTCTATATAAACATGTTTCTATATCTGCTCATGTTAATAGTCGTACATGTGTGAAATGAGCTAAAAGATTGCTTAAGTGAAATTGTTCC